CTGTATCGCACCCTCATCCACACGACAGGGACCCCTACAGACAGTAATTGGTAGGATTCACGGTATTTTCACGCTTCAAAATTTCAGGGAAGCGTACACTAAAATACGACCCGGCATTGATTCAAGACAGGCGTTTATTCGAGGATTTAAGTTATAGAAGAAGAAGAAGAAGAGTTTATAATAGTTCCACGTGCACATAAATCAATAGTAATTTCACAGTTTCAAAACTATGAGCACCTAGCCAATATTACGAGACACTTTTCAAGCATGTACAGTGTAGTTAAAATATAGTTTATTATGCTGACAATAACACATGTTTGAATACAATATAACAAGGTATATTAATTACATTTCGTAAAAAGTGTCTACAGTGCTTCCGTGGAGATTCCGGGTTAGAGAAGGTCCCAATTAAGCAATCTATGCTGGTCGTAGCTAAATGGATCGGCTGGAAAAGTTCGATGACTCGGTTGAATGCGTGTCATCGCACCCTGACAATCACTGGTGTGTGTGGTTCAGACTCGATTATGTACAGGCCTGGATATAGCTGGGATATTGCGGTGTCAAACATCAAACATAGACGTCAAACAAAGTCTACTATGAAAATATCGCCTACGTGGTCTAGTGGTAGAGCGTCCGCCCGGAGAGCGGAAGGTCCGGGGTTCGATCCCCGACCGCGTCATACCAAAAGACGTTAAAAGATGGTACTTGTTGTTACCCTGTCTGGCACTTGGCATTAAGGGGCTAAAGCAAGGACTGGTCGGCTCGGAGTCAGTATACTGTGTCTGAGTGGGGTATTCATGTTAAACTGCGGCATGATATCTCAGTGGGCTAGCACTATAAATCGGCATCAGTCCGGACTAGTACAAGCAGCCACACAAACACACACACACACACACACGTGCATAGACGTCGCTATATAAGTGCAATAATCTTGGACGCGACGTTAAACCCAATTTCACCTCACCTCACCTACTATGAAAATGAACGGCACCTACCTGACACGGACGTACAAGTCGTTCTGTCTAACTTCTCACATCCCTGCCACAGAGCAACGACTACAGCGTTCCCTTCATCATCTACAACTGCTGCAGTGAACATCCCCTCCGTTACAGTGTCACTGCTCCGTCAGTCTTAATCACTGTACAGTAATCTGAATACAAACCAGTCCCCATATCGACATTCCAATCAGTGACGTCATTATCCAATGAAATCTAACAACAATCTAACAATGTCCTATTGTTAAATGTTTTACTTTCAAGAAACACATAAATAGTGTCTTACAAATAACTATAAATTAAAACAATGACATACAGATTCACTTTGAATCCTATGTCACACAACAGACTTTCTTGCAACCCCCGAAAATTTAATACAGCTTACGAACTCTCATCCGTGGCCTGGAACGTCATACAACGCTCTCGTGCGACCCTCGCGAACACTCAGGTACGGTATAAATCTCCTTGTGCTGGGCGACCGTTGAGAGAAGCGGTAGCACATTGCTGTAAACCCGTCTCAATGCCGGGAGGAGTGTAATTGATTTATCGACAGGTTGATATTAACTACAGTATGGCCTGATCAGTGATTGAGAATATGTCAACAATCAAATTAAGATCTAACGCTACCTTGCGAAAGAAAGCAGGATTAATGAGAAAACATAATACAGTTTTAGATTTCTGTTTAAGTAAGGTATTTGTGTTGGGTAGGACTTAATAACGAGCCGTGCCTTATGCGGGTTATTCCGATGAAGATCGATCTTTCTACTCTGTACCTTAAAGGATATGGAACTGTGTCTAATCCTTACTAATACGTCTAACTGTCTGGGAGTTTGAATTAAGAACTGTTGTTTTATTAACGTAAATGGAAGTTAAGGGGCACGAGTGTTCAAGTGGTCAAAGGCGTGCTGTTCAGAATTGAGACCCTTGGCCCTCAACATCCTTAAAGAGACTTTACATAATGTTGATATCTCATATAAGAAATATACGATGAGGGAGTTATTTATCGTACCGAGGCCCTCATGGTTTATTCTCCCTGCAGTGTTTTATTGTACGATAAATAACTCCCACTTGTCGTTTTTAAAAAAAATAATGAACAAAACTACAAGGACGAATAACGCGTTTTATAGATTCGTGTAAACTATTTCAGTGATTACTATATCTGTATGACACCGATGAACCAATAACATGTGCACTACTGGCAACACGATTTAAGGCCGAATATTATTATTTTGGGGTTTAAGTTATATAAATCGTTGTACTTTGGTACGAGACACATTTCATGTCGTCATGAACTGTTTAAGCGCAACCGGACGAAAGTCAGCGCTTCAAAACATACATATTTCATCTCTGAGAGGTAGATACACCAGATCTGCGGACCCACAATATGTTTTTTTGCATCCAGCTTGTACTATGATCAATGACGTTCAATGACAATGACAATGAAATATCGTTCTTTCTCAAAACCAGAGGACAAACTTTGGGGAACCGGCAATTTGCTTTTACTTTCCAAAGATAGACATATCAAGCAGGGGGAAAGAGAGAAGTTGTTTATTTACGTCTCACTTCCTGTACAGTCCAAAATAAACTTTACCAGAGTTTGAAATCACTCTTGCTCATAAACAACAAAACACACATGCATGAAGTAAAGTGTATTGAGAAGATCAATATATCAACATAATCAACACTGAAAATGACAATCATACCGCGACCGAGAATGACGTCAGAGCCCCCCAAAGTTGGGTGTGGTACAATACTCGAGCTTTCAGAATCATGGACAAGAGGCAGAGTACATAAACAATCGCTCACGTTCAATGACAAGTCATTAGTAGCGTTTGTGACCACTAAATGCCTCAATACACGCAAAAACTCTTCGACGCACAGAAAAAGTCAGTCGTCTGATGAGGTCACGTGGGATTTGACGCCATTCTTCTTGGAGGGCAAAGATCAGTTCTTGCTGGTTGGCTGGAGAGTGTGGTCGTTGTCGAACACGACGATCCATCAAGTCCCAGAGGTGTTCTATGGTGGACATGTCGGGTGAGCGTGCAGGCCACGGCAGGACGTTGACATTGTTGGCTGCGAGGAAGTTAGTGACAATTCTGGCTGTATGGGCTCTAGCGTTGTCATGCTGATAAATGACACCACATGGCTGCTGTTGGAGAAATGGTAGGAAAACTGGACGAAGAATGTTATCCATGTAACGCTGAGCTGTCAAGTATCCGTCAACGATGACCAGCGGTGTCCTCTCCTGCCCACAGATCCCTCCCCACACCATGACACTCCCTCCACCATATGTTACGACCTCCTGCACGCAACACGCCGCCGTTCGTTCACCCCTTCGGCGGTAAACACGTTGTCTTCCATCAACCCTAAACATACAGAATCGACTTTCGCCAGTGAAGACAACCCTCTGCCAGTCACGTCGTTGCCAACGTCGTACAGTCCGGGCCAATCTCAATCGCAGACGACGATGTTGCGCTGTCAATAGCTGTCCTCTGTATGGTCTAAAAGCCCTGATTCCATGAGCCCTGAGTCTCCTGGCCACAGTCTGTCGACTAACCCTGTGATCTAAGGCATTTGTCGCCGATGACGTCACTGTCAGGAAGCGATTTCGGAGGTGCAAGGTACGCAAGTACCGGTCATCATGGGGCGTGGTCACCCTGGGTCTGCCTGTTCTTGGCCTGTCAGCGGTCCGCCCTGTCTGTGTGTAACGTTGCATCAAGTTGGTAACGGCAACACGGGAGCAACCGAAGGTTCGTGCAATATGGGCGTGGGTGGCTCCCATCTGTACCATACCCAAGGCTCGTTCACGTTGTTCGACTGTGAGTCGTGGCATTTCTTTTGTGTGTTTTTTATCACTGTGGATGTCTGACTTGCCGTAGCAAACGTTTTATACCCTTACCCGCACGTGCATTTGCAGTTGTCCGTGGTGCACGTGTTTTTCACTTTTTCGCGTGTTATCTCGCAAACATGTAACAGACGATTAACATTTTCTGCATACACTATTGTTGTATTAAGGTTATGTGTTTTAGATAGACTTCACCGAAAAAAAATTTATACTTTGTCTGAAATTTATATTTTCGGTTGGTAAAGTTTCTTTTGGACGTCAGTTTATATAAGGAGGAGAATTTATGGATGTAACTTCTTTATTATGAGGAAGACAACGTTTCGGAGTATATACTTACACCTTCATCAGGTGACCTCATAGCATTTATTCAACTGATGAAGGCGTAAGTAAACGTTGTGTTCCTCATTATAAAGAAGTTGACATTCATACTTTCTCTTCCTTATGTCTATCACTTCTAAATACCTTTAAAAGACTTCAATATATATTTATATATTTCGCGTTTGTATGTTTAAAAAAAACAGCTTCGCAATGAAAGGAGTGCCAGATATCCTACGTGACGTTATACACAGTACATTCTTACATCAGTAGATCTGTGTCGTGGATGTATGTGCAGGTATTTCCAATGAACCTTCTTGTGACATTGGGTTGTCGTGGTAATAACAATATGAATGTGACTAAACCAATGATTTGCTTAAACGCTGCTTTGAATAGTATTAATGCATATGCGTCAGACTCGTGTGAGAGTAAAGCACAAAGTTACCCGATAGACGTTTTAAGAAAATTATCAATTGGTGAAACCCATGAGCACGAGTATGGTAGAACTTCTATAAGCTCAGACTGAGCAGAATAGGCCGAACATCAGTTATATATATGCTTTTATCAAGTTCACAAATCTTAACTATGCTGCCATCCCTATATTATATAAAGACTTTCTCTGGCATGTCTGACTAATGTTCTACCTAAAGAGAAAACACATACAACTTTCCATTGTTTCTTTCATTGAGACGCGTGAAATTAGAAGCGTTTGGAATGCTATAAACATCAATTCCGCATATGATCTAAAACATCAGTCGTGTATACAAGAATATTGTCAACCGTGATGTGAATATGAAATAGAAATAATTATATTCTTTGGTTTCTAGAAAACATATACAACTCACCTCCACCTCGACATTGGCATCAGAAATTGACACTTGGTGGATATCGCACAAGTGGCTCCGACAGATGAAATACGTTACACCCCTTGGTTCCCACAAATGAAATACGTTACGCCGCCCATGTTTAATGCATACATGAATCTGGGGTAGCGTTGTGCGAGACAATGCCAATCCTCATAAGACTTAGTACATACACAACGTGGGCCTCTGCGAAGCTATTATCTCAGAACAATGCCATGTACCCACGTCAACTCACTTGGTAGCAGGAACGTGTTAGTATGGGTCGTGTTACGCCTCTATGTGTGGGAACACATTACACAGGCTATGTATGTGTCATTTTTGACACGTGACGGAACATTTAAACAGTGGAGACAATACATACAAACAAAGAGGTAGTGTACGTTCAGGAGGTTCTGGGTAACTAATATGCAATGCCATGTAAAGTCCTGCCTGATCAATTTATTTCATAAGTTGGATATTTTCTTTTAATTTGAGAACATGGCATTCGGTTAGTATTTTATACGACCACATAAATTATTTACGATGATAGGAATATTGAAATTTGCAGTTTATATACCCATTTTGATTGAGTTTGCTTGTTGTTTGACGCCGCACTCAGCAATAAATTCCAGCTACATGACGGCGGTCTGCAAACAATCGAGTCTAAACCAAATGTCACGGATTGACATCATGCGTTAACAATACAATACAATACAATACAAAGAGGTTTATTTTTGTCTCATCATTTGTACATACAGATTATAAAAGTCTGCGGAGCATGATACATTAAAACACATTTACAAACGCCACCCAAACGGGTTATGAGAGAAGTAAAATCAAGAATAATTCTTGGTAAAAACATTAAAATTCCATACACATAAGGTATATAATATATGAGTATATATACATAACTAAACGTAATATACACCATAGAGAAGGAGCAAGTAAATGAAATAAACTACATAAAATAAATAAATGCATAAAAAATAAAAAAATAAAAAAATAGATAAATAAATAAAATAAATATGTAATGAATGACAGAAAAGTTTGACTGCGGGTGAACATTTTCAAGCACTTTGAACCTAATGAAGGGGCCATGGTGTCATCGTTAAGCAAGTAAGTGTCAGAGCAATCACTAAATAGCGGTCACTTCGGCGGATATCATTATAATAAGAACATTGAGGTAGGAAATGGTCTTCAACAGCATCTGAACAAAAGTTACAAAAAACGTTGGTTTGCTGGGACAGGTGGTTACTGTATCGGCCCGTTTCACTCTCCAACTTGATGGGGCCACATCTCAAGGAAGCACGGACGGATCTCTGAAGGCCTGGTAGTTGAGTGTAGGGTTCAGTGTACAATTCTGACTTAAACAGTTTATAAGTTCTGAGTTTAGGCATTAACTGAATACCATGCAACCAGTTCCGTTTATCAATACCGGTAAGCTGAGATAAGATATTGTTCAAAACCCAGGAATGTGATCCGCAGGTAGGTGTTAAAATGTCAATTAATCCAAAATCAGCACCTTCCTCTCCCAGAACTTCCCCCGTGCCAGCGACCACTGTGAATTTTATACAGCTTATCTTCAGGCATACACTGTAGTCTACACCACAGACGGACTGTTTCCATGTACAGTTTCAACTGAAGGTCCAGCCATCCTATGTCACCCCGCACACCCAGGTTACACGTATTTGGTTAGGTTTGGTTTGTTGTTTAACGCCGCACTCAGCAATATCCCAGCTATATGGCGGCGGTCTGTAAATAATCGAGTCTGGACCAGACAATACAGTGATTAATATCATGAGCATCGATCCACACAATTGGGCTCGATGACATGTATAAACCAAGTCAGCGAGCCTGACCACCCGATCCCGTTAGATAATGACACGCCAAGGAATATACGACATGCACTGTTCTGGATAGCATACACTTCCTGGTATTTACATATTCCCCACAGGCCGGAGCAGTATGATAACAGGGGTTGCATTACACTGTCATACAGTCTTGCAAACACGTTAAAGTGCATATCACCCCAAGAATAAAATTTATGGCTGAGAAGACGCAGTGCTCTGGAAGCAGATTTAAGCAGTTCCCTTGCAGCATAACGTACATCACAGTTGTCAGGTGATCATTGCCCGAGGTAACGGTAGCTATCAATGTAGTCGATTACCACGAGACCACAGTAGAAAATCCCGTTATTGTCTTCTTCACGTTCACGCTCACTCTCCACTTACGCGTCAATATGTTGAGTTCAATAACACTTGTAGACAGTCGGCAAAACTGTATAGCTGCACGGCACCGTTCATGTCGTCAATCTGGATCCCACAATTGCTCTCTTACAACTCCGTAGCAAGATCGTTCATGTTTATAGTGAATAAAGTGGGCGATAACACACATCCTTGTTTTACACCGAACAGTAACAGGGAAGATATCAGTTTTATACTGGCTGACTTGGACACTGGAAAGTATATTGTCATACAGGGATCTGATAGCTTGGAGAATATTGCCTGAAATACCATATTTCATGAGTTTGAACCACAGTCGTCCCCTATTCAAACGCTTTTTGAAAAATCAATAAAACATGAAAATGTTGCTTTTTCATTTTTTTCTGTTATTAACAATGCGATATAAACTATGTATTTTGTCGTGACAGGACCTTCTTTTTCTGAATCTGTTCTGTTCGTCAACAAGAATATCCTGGCTTCGTGGTATTTGCGTAGGCTCTGATTGATGACGTCAGCAGAAATCTTGGAGGGGGTGGAGGGTATGGGGAGGGACCTGTAGCTCAGTGGGTCTCGCGAATAACTGCCTGACCTTCCTTAGGGATGGGTTTAATCTTGCCTTTATTCCAGATACCTGGCACGCTCGCCGGGAGCTATGGGATATGGGAGATAACTCTATACAGTTGTTCTGCACATTATTGATCATTCGTTAGTACACCACATGATATATTATCAAGTCGCGTTGCCTTCCCAACTTTGGCTCTGTATATGGCATAATTCACTTCATTTTAGTGACTGGGTGTTTAGAACATGTACGAAACTCGGAATATGGGGAACATACAACATGATGTGCATCGAGGCTGCACAGAACCATGACATTCTTCCTCGGGGTGAGAAAATATAGACAGAAAAAGCAGTCTGTGGGGACATGGGTTGGATACCCCCCTCTCTCCGTCAATGGGGAAGTGTTTCTCGACTCTATATGCGCCTCCGTAACCTACACAAGGACGCTTAGCACATCACGTTTTCACGTGGAGTCGCCTCTGGGCAACCATACGAAAACGTAATGCAATCTTTAGACTACATAGGAAATTAGAAACACTTAAGATGATGAACGTAATCTCCATTGACAACAGATACGGCAGTAAATATGTGACATCGGAAGTGCAGTGCAGAATGTGTGAAGAATTTAAAGACGAGTGGAGGACAGCATTGGAATTAACGAACAGCAAACGTGGGACAGGTGGCAACAAATCAAGGACTTACTGCACCTTTAAGGATAATTACAGTGTTGAAGCATATGTACACAAAAGCCTCCCTAGAACTCTAGGAAGCGCCCTGTCAAGGTTTAGATGTGGTGTAGCACCGCGATGAGTTGCGACTGGACACAAAACCAATACACCTCTTGCAGAGAGAATCTGCCCGTTTTGTACGGATGAAATAGAAAATGAAATGTTTATTATATTGTCCACTCTTTGAAGGTGTTAGGTTTTATCATATTTCCAAATGTCGTTACGTATGTTCTGATTGTGATAGTTTAAGTGATTTATAGAAAGTAGGTTTTATATTTCCAGCCCAGACCAGAATTGATTTCTACAACTGCCAAGACCTGCAAGAATAATTTAACAACCAGATCGGATGCTCTACACCATGTAGTACTATAGAATATTGAATATTCTCTTTTGTGAATAGTCTGGTACAGTCATTTTTATCGTGTGTAATATATGTGAAGATGTATACATTTTTTTACCAATGTCATACAGTCTCTCATAACTCCGTAGGTAGTGGCTCGTTACTGTATATGCTTTTTTACTAATATATTTTTAAAGAGTTTATTTCCAATGTATTATAAATGTAACGAGGTGAGACTCAAATAAATTGTCTGTCTGTCTGTCTTCCTTTTCGGAATCTGTTCTGTTCGTCAACAAGAATACCAACATTTTACTCCATTATAATATTTCATTACGGTAGCATAGGGACTCTTTTTCATAGGGTACAATTTGGACGTACACCGGCCAGACGTCTGTCCTCGAGGGCACCGTGACCCGGGCCGGCGAGTGCAGTGTGGCTGTGATACGCCTATAAGTTCACCCAGTCTAAGTAAGTTGAATTTTCTTGCGCAACAAACTGATAGAGTTTTCTGCCCTGCTTTAAACTCAGAGGGGTGCGGAGTCCTTTCTTTAAATGCATGAATCGTGAGGGAGTTATACATATTTCCTCTGAGCACCGTCAATGTGATAGGAGCCAGCGTCCAATGACCGTTGTGTACGAAGCAGCGTGAAAACACAATATCGCCGGGTCATTAATAAATGCTGGTTATGTAACATTTAAATTTATGACTCCGTGGAATACATAAAAGCTTAGAAACGAAAGTCCCGTTTCAGCACCCCAGTTGAAATATTAATGCGCCAAGTCTCTGTTTACACGCTGGGTTTGGAAACTTGTTCAAAAAAGAAGTGCGTGAGCGCTTGTGAGAGGAAATACGGTTGGAGGAGGTCTTTCATGAAGTTGAACTTCTGTGACTAGGGTGTAATAAATGTTAATTAAGAAATGGTATACAACGTGGTAAAAGTTCACAGTTTTATTATAATCAGCTACATATCACCAAGGAGAGAAGTCTAAACTGACGGGAACCCATTTGTCTCAGGCAAAGTCACGGATAAACAAACAATGAATGAATATGCAAGCTCGTCAACTATACAACCGTAACTTCTTTGATAGGCATTTAGAAGCTGGAGTACTAAGTAAGGATAAGAATTTATGGATGAACAACTTCTTTATTACAATTAAGAGCGACGTTTCGGTGTAGGTTCTAACACCGTTACGGTGTTTTTCAAGGTGTTGGGTACACGATAGTTTCCAGTTCCTTGTAGGTAACACTGTCGCTGTGTCAGCAGTACGAGAACATACAACACAGAGTCAAAGAGAAATTATATCTGAAGGGTCTGAAACC